GATGATGAGCATCCAAAATTAAAATATTTGTTAAAATTCCAGTTATTGCTATTTTATTATGGTACTAGTTTTAAAATATGCCCCTTTATATTGCGAACAATTTGATACCAAAACGAGCGACGTAACACGAAAATTTATGTTATCAAACTGAACGAGTATACATATTAGGTTGCAGGTGTGATAATTGGTTCTCGTTCACTGGTAACTTTAGGCTTTGCTAAAGGAGTCATGCTGGGCTTTTGGACAACATATGCATATACACCCGCAGAGAATTTAATTGCAAACACATTGATACCAAAACGAACGACGTAGCACGAGAATTAAGGTAAGAAAACTGAAACAAGTATACACATTTTACTGATTGTGCGCGCTCACGGGTAACTTTTCCCGTATTTAGGCTTTGCAGTGGGGAGTCAAGCTTGGCTTTTGGACCTTATATGCATATACACCTGTAGGGAATTCTATTGTGAACACAATGATACCAAAACGAGCCACGTAGCACAAAAATTAAGGTGAGAAAACTGAAACGAGTACACACATTTAGTGTCGCCGAGAGCTTGCCCGCACGCTTGTCTGCACCGTCAGGCCTACTTCGTGCATACGCGTAGAGCGCACGCCCAGGGTGCAATACTGTTAATTAGTGTATCAGCTATATACTATATAATGTGAATGATTTGTTATCAGATATCAGTACATTATTAGGAATGATGATGATTCTTTAACCATACAGTTGAATGCAAGAGTAGTCTGTCCTGTACAGTAGTTGAGCATTATTCATCACAAACTTTATTAACTGAAGTGCAAACCGAGTTAAAAGTACAAGCGCCTGGTGAGTACAGTACAACCTCGATTCAACGCACTAAAGTATATGGGACCAACCCCGGTGCGTTGGATACGTTGCAAAAGGTGACCTTCAAGAGGCATTTGGATCAGTGTGTTTTTTTCTTGTAAACAATAAAAATGCATTATCATATTATATACTGTACCTATATATTACTACTCTACTAAAATATACTGTTACAGTTGTTATTTACCTTATTGTTGGACTTATGTCCATCTTGAATTCTCATGGAGTTGTGAATGCTGTGCAGTAAATACGTACTGTATTGTATTATGCCGTTAGCACTGTATTGGTAAGTAGTTCTGCTGTATGTTGAGTACTACAATACAGTTTATGAAAACTATTTTACACTAAAATTACTGTACTGCAACCTTAATTTGAACACTAACACTATGCACTTAAATTTAACACTTATTCTAACTACACTCCACACTCCATGTTCTTGGATGTTTGCATAAAGCTTTGCTGGTGCTCGCTGCTGCTGTGTTTGCTTCAGCTGCTTCAGCTGCTTCTGAGCTGGTGCTGGCTCCTGTTGTACCAGTGCTGGGTACGGCCGTGTCCGTGCTGGGTACGGCCGTGTCCGTGCTGGGTACGGCCGTGCCCGTGCTGGGTACGGCAGTGCCCGTGCTGGGTACGGCCGTGCCTGTGCTGGGTACGGCCGTGCCCATGCTGGGTACGGCCGTGCGCGTGCTGGGTACGGCTGTGCCTGTGCTGGGTACGGCCGTGCCCGTGCTGGGTACGGCCGTGCCCGTGCTGGGTACGGCCGTGCCCATGCTGGGTACGGCCGTGCCCGTGCTGGGTACGGCCGTGCTCGTGCTGGTTGATTTTCTGCTACTAGTTCTTGCAAAATATTGCTTCATTTTTGGCATTAATAAGGCACTATTAGCAAGCCCCTGAGAAATTTTATTCTAGTATATCAATACTGTACAGCCGTAGTCCAAAAATGGTAAATTCCACGAATATTCTTCCACTGGCGGATAAATATGTCAAATGCAGACAAATCTAAGGGCACTGGGTGCCTACTGTATGAACGTAGACTAGGTCTATACACCCTACAGTAGGCTGGTGTTTAAGCTAGATCCAGTAACATAAATTTCTCTCAAATATTGGATTTACATCAGAATATATATTTTTGGGTTATATATTTAGTTTAGCAACATTATTACGATAATAAGAGCTATAAAAAATACTTATTTCAGAACCGATTTATTAATTTTATTATTTCGAAGCCGTAGGTCACTGAACTGTGGCGACGAAATCGAACAAACCACTCATGGTGTTGTGTGCACACGGATTAGACCCGTCCACTCGCGCTGGAGTTGTGCCGCCAATAACATGAACAATTTCTCAAACAACCGATGTCTATCATATTACAGTATATTTTTGGTTTTATTTAGTTTAGTTTACTTAGGATAATAAAGAGTTATTAAAACACCAGTTTTAGAAATGATTTATTATTCTGAAATGTTCAAAGTCATGGGTCGGTCACTGAACTATGATGACACAGACGAAAGTAAGTGAAACCTCACTGTAAAGGTGAGGTTTACTCCACAGTATTCCCATATCTGTCCACCCTCACTCATCTTGTTTTATCACAGAAAATGTCTTAGAAGATTTCAACACATTAGCTAGCTATTCACGCTTCAGCCTTTAAATTTACAAAGATACGTGTGCCATAAATCAGTGAACAAAAATGATGGAAACTCAGTCGTTCACTTGTGTGGACCACTCTGGCTGGTGTTTGGTAAATATGCTTCACTTGTTGTGTGGACCATTCTGGCTGGTGTTTGGTTCATATGGTTCACTTGTTGTGTGGTCCACTTGTGTGATCCAACCTGTCTTGTGAAGGAATTATTATTTGTAATGTGATAGAATGAGACAGTTTTCCACCACTCTGTGAACTCTGTCCCAACATCATAAGCTTGTGGCTCACATGTGTGGTCCACTTGTGTGATCGAACTTACCATTTGAAGGAATTATTAATTGTAACCTGTGATGGAATGGGAAAGTTTTTCACCAGTCTGTGAACTCTGTCTCAACATCCTAAGCAAATCTGAACATCCCACGCTTCGCAGAACCATTGTTCGTCGAACCGGGTGAGTACAGTGTTAGGTTACAACAGTGTTTTCTAGTTACCAGGTGTGAGCTTTTCATAAAGACTCAAGGCCTTATTGTTTAAATATTTCTGCTTTACACCAGTTTTCTGTTGAATACATTAGCACCAACTACACAAAGAGAAATTAATACTATCGCACTCCGTGCGGCGCGCCGCAGAAATGACGTCATGCGCCGTTCGGTGCGGGCGAGCGTGTGGCGACACCGAAAAAGTGTATACTCGTTTCAGTTTTCTCACCTTAATTCTCATGCTATGTCGTTCGTTTTGGAATCATTGTGTTCGCAATAAAATTCCCTACAAGGGTATATGTATATAAGGTCCAAAAGCACCCAGTGACTACCCACAGCAAAGCATAAAGTCAGCAAAGTTACCCGTGAACGCGCAAAATCAGTAAAATGTGTATACTCGTTTCAGTTTTCTCACCTTATTTCTTGTGCTTTGTCATTCGTTTTGGTATCATTGTGTTCACAATAGAATTCTCTACAGAGGTATATGCATATAAGGTCTAAAAGCCTGGCGTGACTTCCCACAGCAAACCCTAAAGTCGGCCAAGTTACCCGTGAACGAGCACCAATTTGGCACACCTGCAGATTAATGTATATACTCATTCAGTTTGATAACAAATTTTCGTGTTACATGTTTCATCTTGGTATCAAATGGTTCGCAAAATAAAGGCATGTATTTCAAAACTAGTCCCATAATAATAGAACAATAAATGGAATTTTAACAAATATTTTAACTTTTGGATGCTCATCACCACAAAATTATTTATATATTTCCAGTGTTCTGACACAAATTTTCGTGTTACGTTTTTCATTTTGGTATCAAATTGTTTGCAATATAAAGGCGCGTATTTTAAAACTAGTTCCATAGTAATAGAACAATAAATTGAATTTTAGCAAATATTTAAAAATTTGGACCACGAAAGTATATTATCATCTTTCTGACATTCATTATCTTTCCGACATCAATTTTCGCGTCATGTCCTTCATTTTGGTATCAAATTGTTTGCAATATAAAGGCGCGTATTTTAAAACTAGTCCCATAATAATAGAACAATAAATAAAATTTTAACAAACATTTTAACTTTTGGACACTTTTTGACGCTCATCACCACAAAATTTTATCTTTCCAGTGTTCCGACATCAATTTTCGTGTTACGTCTTTCATTTTGGTATCAAATTGTGCGCAATCTAAAGGCGTTCATTTTGAAACCACTCCTAGATTGATCGGATAAAATTTAAATTTTTAACAAATATTTTAATGAGTGACGCAAGACAGAGGCAACCGGGATGACTCAAGAAAAATACATGACGACGGATGTCGGCAACGGAGTGTGATGGTGTTAAGCTGTGGTCATGAGCAAGTTTTCAATTCAGAGTACTAACAAAATAGAAAACACTAGGCCTACCTAGAAGCCTTGTTTCTGAAGCCATGTCCTAACTGTACTCCACCAACATTGCCCACAAACTTGAACTTTTTCAATTTAAAAAATTTTGTGGAAGAAGTATACTGTTTGGGAATAAGACTCCTAAAACACGAGAATGAATGCAGCACGTGCAGCGATCACTAGCAGCCTCCCCGCACTACCCAGCAGGATAGTTCGTGTATAGTTGTTACACACGTCACCGTCACTTATTATGTGAAGACTCAAATCCCCAGAGTAAACTTATCTGTGTCCTCAAATTACCTCTCCATATAATATTTATTAGACAATAATACTGTATTCTATTCACCATTGGTCATATACAAATACTTTCCATTATCTTGAGAATTATACAACAGTGAAATTTGTATATAGTCAGCATTAGAAGTTCAAGTACTCTAAAGAGAAATATGAAAAAATGCAGTTACAATATACATGAAAAACAACATTTCCTTACATCTGGAACCAAGAACCTGTCATTATTTTTTAATTCTAAGTTACATGGGTTGATATTATTGTACAGTAATAGTTTGGTAAAGTTGCGACCTGTTGACAAGTTATTAACAAATTGCTAGGCAGCAACTGTTGTGACGCGTGTGTAAAGAAGTGCCCCTTACCTTGATTATGACCAAGAGCGTATAGGAGGCACAATGCAAATAGAGATGCATAATCATCCTCTGAGCAGTCGAGCGATGCAATAGTAGACTGAAGGAATGGTCGGGAGGCTAGAGTGCCTTCTGTTATCCCAATATCCATCATATTTCCTCTGCTAAAAGTGATAGAAATAAACAAAGTAAATAAAAAATATGGCATAATACAAATCAAAAATTTAATACAAAATTGTAAATTGTAAACAATTTACTATGTAAATTGTAAATATATATACAAATTATGTATATATATTACACACAAAACATTGTCAAAAGAAAAAAAAAATGGCACCTTTGCAAACGAAACCTTGCCCAACATTTATAGAGGCAAATATTGTCCCAATGTATACAAAATGATGAGAGAGAGGCCCCATTAAACTATAGACCAGTATTATTGATCAGTGTGGCTGCCAAAATCCTTGATTACTATACCCCTCAAAAACGACCGGATAAAGTAAACACACAGGACAATAAACTGAAAATAAAATTCAGTATGAACAAATATCACATAATGGAGCGCAGAACAAGTGAAACCAGACCACATTCAGTCTATACATTTTGTGAAAGACTAAAGAAATTGGGAAATGAATGAGGTTTGGAGGTGCCAGATTGTAAACTGTCACCAGATGATTACATCAGGGGCAAAGTAAGAGCAAGACACATTACTTTGGTCAGTTTTAGAATTGCTTTCAACTACATGAATGGAGAAATGGAAAAAACATGTAACTAGAAAAGGCACAAAGACATGTTACTAAATTGCTCCTGGAGCTAAACAATAAGAGATATGAGAAATTGAAAACATTAAATAAAGAATGCCAAACTAGTAGATAAAAAGAAATAGAGATGATATAACCACTTTTTACAAAACTGATAGAAATCAACAGAAAACTGCAACATCGGGAACAACAGGTAATGGATTCAAATTAAAAAAGCAAAGGTGCAACAAAAATACTCCTTTGCAAACAGTGGTTCACATAAGTTATCCTGGGATGCCAGGGATTAAGAGACTACATAAAAGGTACCATAACAATGGGTGGACCAAGAGTAGTAGTAGCAGTGATGTATACCCCTCCACCAAATGACAGAAGACCCAGGCAAGAGTATGACATCATCATCATCATGGCAGTTAATAATACTATAATTGAGAGGACAGCCTCTGCTGCCTGTAGAAATAGATCCCATCTGCTCATCATGGTGGACTTCAATCATGGAAGGATAGACTGGGAGAACAAGGAACTGCATGGAGGTGAAGATGCATGGAGGGCTGAACTATTGGAGGTGGCGACAAGAAACTTTTTAAGCCAACATGTCAGGGAACCCACAAGGATCAGAGGAAACGATGAACCAGCAAGACTTGACCTAGTCTTCACTCTGAACGACTCCAACATAAGGGAAATCGGTTTCGAGGCCCCAGTAAGAATGAGCAACCACAGTGTACTGACATTTGAGTATCAGGTTGAAGGGTTAATGAACTCGAGGAGGGGAACTAAAAACAAAAGGCTGGCATTCCGAAAGGAAACTATGAGGAGATACGAAAATTCCTAACAGATATAACATGGGAAACAGAGTTCAGAGAAAAGATGGCTCAAGATATGATGGACTACATCACGCAGAAGTGTAAGGAGGCCGCAGACAAGTTTGTCCCAATCCAAAAGGAAAACAATGAAACGAAGATGAGAAACCCATGGTTCAATCAGATATGCAGGCTAGCCAAGTAGAAAAGTAAAAAGGCAAGGAGAAACTATACAAATAATAGGACACTTGAGAGCAGAGAAAGATATCAGAGTACTAGGAATGAATATGTCAGGTTGAGAAGAGAGGCAGAAAGGCATATGAAAATGACATCGCAAGCTAGGGAAAGACTCAGCCTAAATTGCTGCACAGCCACATCAGGAGAAAAACAACAGTAAAGGAAGAGGTAATGAAACTGAGAATAGGGGCAGACAGATTTACTACAAATGACAAGGAAGTGTGCGAGGAACTGAATAAGAAATTCCAGGTCTTCACATTAGAGCAAGGAGAAATTCCAGAGATAAGAGAAGGAATAGTTAACCAGGACCCACTAGAAGAGTTTGAGATTACCAGTGGGGAAGTAAGGAAACTGTTACTAAATTTGGATGTGTCAAAGGCTATAGGCCCTGATGGAATCTTCCCTTGGATACTGAAGGAAGGAGCGGAAGCACTGTGCCTGCCACTCTCCTTGGTGTATAACAAATTACTGGTAACAGGGGTACCTGCCAAAAATTTGGAAGACGGCTAATGTAGTCCCGATATACAAGAAGGGGGATAGACAGGAAGCACTGAACTACAGGCCAGTGTCCCTATCTTGCATACCATGCAAGCTGATGGAGAAGATTGTGCAAAGAAAGCTAGTGGAACATCTGGAGCAAAAGAATTTTGTAACAAAGCATCAACATAGGTTCAGGGATGCCAAGTTCTGCCTCACAGGATTAATTGAATTCTACGACCATGCAACAAAAATCAGGCAAGTCAGGGGGTGGGCAGACTGCATATTTTTGGATTGCCAGAAAGCCTTTGATACAGTGCCACACAAGAAGCTAGTGAAAAAGCTGGAGATGCAGGCAGGAGTGAAAGGGAAGATACTCCATTGGATAAGAGAGTACCTAAGCAACAGAAGACAACGAGTCACTGTGAGGGGCGAGGTCTCAGATTGGTGAAAAGTCACCAGTGGAGTCCCCTGGTTGAGTCCCGCAGGGTTCAGTCCTTCAGTCCATACTGTTTCTGATATATGTGAATGACCTCCCAGAGGGTATAGAATCGTTCCTTTCACTGTTTGCCGACGATGCAAAAATTATAAGGAGGATAAAAACAGGAAGGTAGGAGGTGGTTACAAGATGATCTAGACAGATTGAATGATTGGGCTGACAAATGGGAACTAAAGTTCAACCCAAGTAAATGCATGGTAATGAAACTAGGCGGTGAAAACAGGAGGCCAGACACAGGATGCAGAATACTTCATGAAAAGGACAGAGAGAACTTCAAAGAGTACTTGTGGGCCCAAAGACAATGGGCCCACAGCGTGTGCCAAGCCGCCTGAGGGCCACAAAGCTCAACAAAGAAAATGGGAAGACATCGGCGCACATTTTAAAACCAGTCCCCAAAAAATCGGATAAAAACCTGATTTTTGGCGAATTTTTAAAGTGGATGACGCAATGCTGCGTCATCCCCGGCATTACCGCCAGTAAACGGATGACGCAATGCTGCGTCATCCCCGAGCGAAAGTGTTAACAGATGGAATGCATTAGGCAGTGATGTGGTGGAGGCTGACTCCATACACGGTTTCAAATGTAGATATGATAGAGCCTAGTAGGCTCAGGAATCTGTACACCAGTTGATTGACAGTTGAGAGGCGGGACCAAAGAGCCAGAGCTCAATCCCTGCAAGTACAAATAGGCGAGTATAGATGGAATACATTAAACAAAGTAGTGTATGCCAATACTATGAGAAACTTGACAAAAACTCAAAATCAACTATAGGTACATAAAATACCTGTTCCCATACATGAACTAAATTAGTATACACTACAAATTATTACAAGGGTTCTGGGTGACCGGAACCATGATACAACAATATAGGGTCGCTAGGCACAGCTGGAATATATGTCAAAAGACATATCAATCCATAAAAATCATGGGGTCAATGATAATGCCTTTTATCTAATGCTACATTATTCAAAATAATTCTCTGTGTATTCTCTCTCCTGTCTTAATATTGTTAATATAGGCAAACTGGTTGTATTCTGTAACATGAGAAAGATTATTTCTACCCAGAATGATCTGAAGCTCTGAGCTGCTCCTTTTCCTCGTCAGTGATGTTAACGTGGGTCGCTTCCAAGTCAGAAATGCCAATGCTGGCCATTATATCTGCAGCAGGTGTTGATATCCGCAACTCTGAAGCGGAACAAAAAAAACATGAATATTGTAAAGGAACAAAAATAGTCAAATTCAATGTAAATTTAATGACAAAGAAACCAACAGAAATGAAAAATGGCCTTTAAATAAAACATTGCTTGCCATCAGATATTAATATTCCTGCCAATACTGTAAATGCACATAGTATATATGCATTACACAAAACTATATATAGTTTGAAACATTACATCATCTGATATAACACAGGCAGGACAATTTACCTCGACAGAGTACAGCCTCCTCTGCCTCCTGGTCCACAGACGACCCACAACTACTAAATGTTGCCTCCTCTGCCAAGCCCCCCTTGCTGCTACTGGCTTCCCCTCTTGATAAACTGTTACTTGGACTGTGTGAAGAGCTACTCCCAGAGCCACTTGATGTTCTTGCTTGTAATGACTTTTCCAAGGGTTCTTCAGGAGCAACGAAGCCTCTACGCACCAGACGCTGACCCTGAAATGACTTGAGACACTTATTCATTTTGATAATTTTTTATTAAATTTACATTTTTGCTTGTCTATAACCTAAATATACGTATTACCTAAATATACAGCAGATTGGAGAAGAATACTTTTCTTACAAGCATCTTAATTAATAATCCAATGCAAGAACTTGAGTCAACTGTTGAAAAAGTTTGTGTATTAGTGATTTTTTTCATACAGTATTTAACCCTTATGCTACTACAGCTACAGGAACATTAACGAGGTAGCGTTCAGCCAGGACCCTGTTCGACCGCCAAAAGCCCCGTGCCCGAATGTCAGCCCAGGAAATGTTTCCAAAGACGGCAGCAAGAGCAGCAAACTTACAAACATTATGGGCACGGGGATAGACTGCAGGCTGGCTAGACCTAATAACCGTGCGGACGACCTGAGAAACCCGTACCCGCAAACAAGGAGGAAGGGAAACCGGATCAACCCAAAGTGCGTCCCCAGACACAGAAGCCGTGGCGCGCAAATAACAGCGGAGGGCCGCAATCGGACACAACACATGACGCATCCCCGGCCTGACCAACCAAGCATCAACAACCCAAGGACCCCTCTGGAAGGCAGCAGTCTCATTCTTCGCCAGAAAAGAAGGAGACGGCTGCAGATGAACAAACCTATCACCACGACCGAAAGAGCAGAAACCCTTGCGCCGGAAGAGAGCATGAAGCTCCCCGACCCAACCCCCCGGAGGCCAATGCCAACAGGCAAAGAGCCTTAAACAAACAATCCTGAACCGAAGGGGCCACAACAAACCGAGGATAAGAGAGGTACAAGAGCACTCTGTCCAAAGACCAGGACGGCTCAGGAGGCGCAAGAGCAGGCAGGAGGTGAAACAACGCACAAGAATGCTTGTGAAACGGTGCAGAAGTGACATCTATACCAAAAGCAAGCTGCAGCGGCTCTGCCAGCACCACACGATACGAGGCGACAGTATTCAGCATAAGATGACGGTCCAGGCACCACAAGAGAAAGGACACCACCCGAACCAAAAGCAAAGTACAACGACAAAGAGTCAAAAAGAACTGAAAGGACCGCCAGGAAACTTCATACAGCTGCCGAGACGAAGCCCGCAGGTGGGACACCATCAATGAAGTCACTTGATCACCATACAAATGGTATTAAATTGTATCACAGCCACATGCATATATTGCTCAATCGCAGAGGCCGCAAACAACAAAGGACAAAAGGGCAAAGATAATCTAAGAGACAGGGCCCAAGCCGATTCCAAGGAGGAAGTGAGCATCACCTGCCAACACGCGAGACATGCAGCGAAAAACCGCGACAGCGCATCCCGCAGGATCGGCGTAAACAACTTCAAAAGTGCAGACGACTCACGAGAAGCCGAGGTGCCAGACCCAGGAACGGCCCCAAGCGCCTCTACATCCTCCGCAAGTCAATCCGAAGACAGCTCAAGGAGGGAAAAGAAACGCACAACTGAAGCCAACGAGTCCCGAGCGCACAAGTCCTCGGCCACAAGCGCAGCCGACAGGGAAGGAACCCGCACGTGAAGCTGAACCATGCCAACATCCCGCAGAAGGGCTGGAGCGAAAAGGCACTCATTAAGGTGTACAAAATCCCTCTCCAGGTAAAACTAAACCACAGTTAACATCTCGCACCACTCAAGCGTGCGGGTATGACAGAAGGTGCCCTAAGCATCCAGCGAGAACATAGGGCAATCTGCAAGCCAGGATGACTCAGGAACCTCATAACAAACTCAGTATGGAGACAAAGACCCATACCTGAAGGAAGACGGATCCATTATAGAAGCATACTCCTGGTCACGCAAGAGGTAATCCGCGATGGCTGCCTGCACCTCACAGGAACCCGAAAACCTCCGGAAGGACGGAACCGAAGGACCCGCAGGGACACTGAACCGAACACGGGAAAGAGACGAACCCAAATCCAACTCGTACGCAGAGGGGAGAAAGGAAAACCCCACTCCTTGTAACAGTGCACCCGAATATCATCATCATCAGATATTATTGCTGGCAAAAACAATGGGCGTCGCCTTGAGATAAGGGGACAGAGCAACCCTCAAACACGCACAAAGCAAGATGGGACTCAGGGGTCACATCCATCAGACCTGAGTGCCCTTGCTGGGTTTTGCAGGGCCCCTAGACTGGCTCTGCTAAGGGTTATCCCAGGCAGGGTACTACTATCCAGAGCCCAAGCAACCAAACGACACTGCTAAAGCTGAACCCCCGGATGTGTCCACTCATAGGGGTGAAGCAGGGGGGTAGGTACCACCAAACAATAAGCAAACCCTAATATAACAGGGGGTAGGAGACACCAAGGCAGAAACCAAAAACCTCAAAAAAAAATGTAAAAGATAAACCTTGCAAGAGTACAACGTACCCAGAAGGAACAGAGCCAGCCGCTGTTAAAGGTGAAAACTAGCTGCGCAGTACCCTGTGCCCCTACCAGTGTAAAAACTACCACTTACCCCAAGGTAAACAAGGGAGGAAACCCCCCAACACACTCAGGGCAGTCAATCACCAAGCAGCAAAAGACCAACAGAGGTAGACCCAAGGTGACTTGTGGAAGATAACCCCAAGTCCCAAGGGCAGTACTTACACGGCACTCAGGGAAGGCAGCCCTAAGCACATGCAGCCCGAGTACCTGTGAATATTTCTCCCAGCTCGCACACCACTGTAAGAGAAGTACTGAATCAGAGGACAACACAGCACAAGAATTGGAGCTGGAGCCATACGTCCGTGTTGTATCCAATCAGCAGAAGAACTGTAGGGTGGATTGCCGGCACGGGGGTCTTAGGCTCCCCCTTCCCCCTCCCAGGGAGAGGGTGAGCTGCACAGACATGGAGCGCAGCTCGTGTGACATTATTCTTGTTTGCTCGTTTTCAATTGGGGAGTTCTGTCCACTTGTTTGTCTATTTTCGTCGTTTTTAACCAGAATAGGGGTTTGTTTTAGGGCGCTTACCTTTCTGGGTGCCTGTCCCAGTCGATGGCAGATATAGAATGCTCCACAATCACATGTGCATTTCTATAGACCATTGCTCCTCGTGCCTCTGAGGGGGCCAGGTTCTGGCCATGGTCCCCGGAAGGCCTAGAACTCCACCCACATCGACTGATGCCAAAAGTTAGGACTATCCGCATCAATCTGGATAGCTCCAAGGAGCCGTAGGGGGCTCCCCCCAGAAAAAACAGAAAATGAATAAAAGAGTAAAATAATGAACAGGGTAGACAGAGCAACTGTAAAAAAAAAAATTTGAATGCACAGTATTGAAATGCCATTTTTGGGACAAGACTCAAAGGCTCCCTGGAGCTATCCAGGCTGATATGTATATTATTACCAGGGACCACGAGCCAGAACCTGATGCCCTCAGAGGTGTACGAGGAGCAATGGCCTATAGAAATGCACATGTGTGTGTGGAGTATTCTATGTCAGCCATCGACCAGGCCGGGCACCCAGAAAGGTAGGCGCTCCAAAATAAACCTCTAATCTGGTTAAAACTACTACTGAAAACTAACTAGTAAACAGAACTCCCAACTGAAAAATGAGCAAACGAGCATGACATCACATTTGCTGCTCCGCTTGTCTGAGCAGCTCCCCCTTCCCTGGGAGGGGAAAGGGGGAGCCCCAGACCCATTGCACTGGTTATCCACCTGTCAGTTCGAGGCTGGTTGTCAAAACACATGAAAAAATTAAGCCGACCAGGGGGGGGGGGGAAGGGAGGGTTGCCGGGAAGCCTCCAGGTCTCACCTAGGAAATGGTGTTTCATTACATTCAACGCTGGTTTTCTGAAAGGGGGGAAGGGGACCTTCGGCTTCCCGGAGGTACCTACCCAAAGTCAAGGACAAAAGTGGGATAACCCCCGAGAGGCAGAAACCACGCACCTAAAACTCGAAAGCAAGACAACAGGCAACAACGAAATGATTCCACTGAAGACCCGGAGACCCGAACACAAGAACAAGGACAAAGGGAACCCTGGGAAACTCAAGGCGCGTCAAGGGCCACAGAGGCTGCGGCACTCAGGCGAAGGCCTGCAAAAATAAAAAGAACGGTTGCAACAAACAAACCTAACACCAGAATCAAAAGGCGCAGAAACCTGAGAAACAATTCAGAACCGAGAGGGCCACAACCAACCGAGAGGGCCACAACCAACCGAGGGGAAGAGAGACGAGAGCATCATGTCCAAAGACCAGGATTGCACAGGTGGCGCATGAGCAGGCCGGAGGTGAAACAACACCCTAGACAGCTTGCGAAACGGTGCAGAAGGAGCATCAAAACTGAAAGCAAGCCATAGCAGCTCTGCCAGCGCCACACTATAATGAGGCGACAGAATACAGCAAACGAAGACAGTCCCGAAATGGCCACTAGAGAAAGGACATGGCCACCTCAACAAAAAGCAAAGTACACATACGAAGAGACAAAGAGAAAGGAAGAACCTTTCTTTCCTCGGCAACGCATGCGGGTAAACCGCATGCCGTTGCCGAGACGAAACCCGCAGGTGGACACTATCAAAGAAGCTGCCTGATCACCATACAGGTGGCGATAGACACAAGTCAAAATGGCCCAACTCGAGGAGAAGATCGAACCAGTCACGTAATGGGCCGGACCGATCTGCTGAAAGAGGCGGAGCCGCGGGAAAACCTCCGAGTTCGGACACCGAGCAAGCAGCGCCAGAATCCAAGGCCGAGCCGGCCACCATGGGGCCGAGAGGACAACTCTCCCTTAGTAAGTCTCCAAGCCAGCTAGGACCTGGAGCAATAGCTGAACCTGGGGGGAAAAGGCACAGGAACCCCCACCACGACCAGTCCTGCCAGAAGGTATTGATCCCAACAGCCTCGCAGTCTGGGAAGGGCACCACATATACTGTAACCCCGCGATTATCCGGGATTCGAACATCCGAAAAACGCCCTTATACGGCCAAAATCGTGAACGGATAAAGTTATCACAATATCCGGCCAAAATAGCCACAGGGACCGGATTAAAGCAGGTTTTCTGCAGAAATTACAC